AGGGTCTCACTACATAGCCCTGACTGACCTGGACCTTACTACATAGACCAGGCTTGCCTTGAACTCACAGAGATCTGCCTGCCTTTGCCTTCTGAGTGCTGGGATTAAAGGTGTGTACCATCACTACTAGCAAGACCCTGTCTTAAAAAAAAAAAAATTGAATTCTGGTGAGCAGTAATTTGGGCCAGCTTTTTCAGTGAAACGTTATCAAAGTTGTAGTTAATTGTGTGGATTGGAGAAACAGAAATAAAGAGACCACAAGTTTAAAGCAGGTATATGAAAGTTCAGGGAATCCCAAATGCCACCTCCACTGGGAAGCCTCTACTTACCTGCATATGGGTCTAGGTCAGCACTTGAATGGGGCTTTCACAGCACTCTCAATTTCCCCATCTGTGCCTATCATTATTTCTGTGTTGGCCCTTCCTCCATGAGTCTGAACTCAATGTTAAGGATTCTTTCCTATTTTTGTATCTGCAGGTAAAAGCATTTGCTCATTTGCTAGGGGAATAAAGAGGTGAAACTGTGATGCCACAGGAAAGCCAAGGAACCTGTGTGATTGCATGACTTTGAACAAGTCCCTTCACTGCTTTGGGTCTCAATTTTCTCATCAGTAAAATGAAGATGAGAATACAACCCTCTTCCTCAGGGTTATGGGGATGAAGTAACAGAGCTCACCAGCTGCTTGCCCTGTTTGTGCCCTGCCCCTAGCAAAACAGCCTGGACTATTTTTCCTGTCATTTGGATCTCATTTGCTCTTTCTCCTGGTAGGAGCCAACCTGGAATCTATTGTCTTGTTGGAGGGGACATTTGTAGAAGTGGCATACACATCATCCAGGTGGCCTCTGTGTTCCTAGAAGGGCAAACATCAAAAGAAAGAAGCATGTTGGGCTACAGAGAGACATACTTTTATGATCCCTAAAGCTGAAGGAGAATCCAAGGTGGGGAGAGTGAGGCAGAACAGTTCTACATCATGTGCTGATGGGTCTAAGCCCCCTAAGCCCAGGAGTTCATTAACGTTTGGACGAATGCCAGTTATATGAAGCCCCCTCATTCCTCTAACGTCATAATTTCTCAGTGCCTTAGGCTGATATGATTGACTCTATCATGAATATTCAAGTATTAAGAAAATGAGAGTTTAAAAAAGTTGCAAATGCCAAATAAAAGAGATGCTGTTCAGAATGATTTTAGGTACAGCTATCTTAAGAGATGACTATGGAGCTAGGTGTGGTGGTACATGCCTTTGATCCCAGCACTTGGGAGGCAGAGGCAGGTGGATCCCTGTGAGTTCTAGGCCAGCCTGGTCTACATAGTGAGTTCCAGGTCAGCTGGGCTACAGGGGAAACACTGTCTCAAAAAGACCAC